CCCTGTTTTTTATTTTTTTGAGATAGGGTTTCACTGTGTACCCCAAGCTGGCCTTGAACTCACAGTGATCCTCCTGCCTCAGCCTCCTGAGTGCTAGCATTATAGGTGGGCACCACAACAGTCAGTTTAAAGTCATGGTTTCTTAGGATTGGGTGGCAGGATGGGAAGTTGGGGGTAGGTGATAACTAGAGAGTACTGGTTTTCTTCCTGAGGTATGAAAAATGTTACCAAATTGACTGTAGTGATGGTTGTATATATCTGTGTGTTGCCACTGAACTGTGCACTTTAAGTGAATGGATGGTGTTATGTAATAAAGCTGTAAAAAAAAAAAACTGCCATTAACCATCAGATCTGAATCTATAGCGTGAAAGAGAAGCCTAGGTTAGAAATAAAGACTTGAGAATCATCATTGTGCAAATGGTAGTTAAACTGTGAGAATAGATACCATCCCTTTTGAGAGAACACATAGAATGAAGAAGAGACACTAAGGAAATAAATGGTCAGAGAGCTATAAATAGAACCATGGACATAGTGCCACAGAATCCAGTGGAATTGAATATCTCACAGAGATAATTATTACAACCTCATATACAACCTGAAAGCCCAAATAAAGAGAAATTAGTGGTAATGGCAATTGATTGGTATGTTAGCAATGATATCCACAGAGTAATGGATACAGAAACCATACCAGAGAGGGATAACCTCAATGCCATTAAAATCACTTTTGTCAAAAAAAATTTTTTTTTTTTTTTTTTTTTTTGGTTTTTTTCTGGTACCAGGAACCGAACTCACGACCTTGCGCTTGCCAGGCAGGCGCTTTTGCCGCTGAGCTAAATCCCCAGCCCCCCAAAAAAATTTTTTTGAGACAGGGTCTTGCTGTGCAGCCCAACCCAGGCTGGCCTCAAACTCAGAGCGATCCTTTTGCCTCAGCCTCCAGAGTGTTGGGATTACAAACGTTTGCCACCATGCCCCACCTCTTTTTTGTTTTGTTTTGTTTTGTTTTTTGTTTGTTTTCTGGTACTGGGAATTGAACTCACAGCCTTGCGCTTGCCAGGCAGGCACTGTGCCGCTGAGCTAAATCTCCAGCCACCCCACCTCTTGTTAAAGTCTTAACTTCCATGTTCCCAAATACAATGGTCAATTTTTAGTTATTTTAGCTTCAGTCTCTTGAGCAGGAATGACAGTTTATAGTGCTTTCTTTGTACCTTTTTCTTTAACTTGTTTTATAAGACCCCTTACTTTTCTTAGTCTTTCTTTTTCTTTTCTTTTTTGTTTCTTTTTTTCTTTTGTTGTTGTTCTTTTTGAGACAGGGTCTCACTATATAGTTCAGGCTGGCCTTGAGCTCACTTTATAGCCCAGGCTGGCCTCAAACTCACAATAAAGCCTCAGCCTCCTGAGTGCTGAGATTATAGGCGTGTACCACCATGCCTGGCTTCTTAGTCTTTCTTGACTACTCCTTTTTTTTTTTTTTGGTACTGAGAATCGAACTCAGGGCCTTGTGCTTGCTAGATAGGCACTGGGCCACTGAGCTGTATCCCTGGCCCTCCTTTTTAATAAATTTTGCTGGATGTTTCTTATATCTGACCTCCACTGGTTGTAATGCCTCAGGATTAGAGGTCTCAGTCTTTAGGAACTCCTCCCTGTTAACTGAGGTTTCCCCGTCCCATCACTATCGATTCATAACTTAGTGAGTCCCCAGTTTATGTCTTCAGTTGTCCCTTCTGTGAGCTCCAGGTTCATATTTGTAGTAGTTTGTTTATTACTACATTTGAAGATCTAATAGACATCCATCTCCGGTGATATGTCTGACATAGAACTGAATGTGTCCTCTGCTAAAAGAAAAACCTGTCCCTGTACCCCCACATAGTATAAGGCACTGTTAACTTAGTTATTCAAGTCAATCTGAGGCATCCTCGACTCTAGTTTATACCCCACAGTCTCTTAGCAAGTCAACTCTATGCCACTTTCAAAGTACATTCTCAGTCCAACCACTTACTGCCACCTGCATTGCAGTACTAATCTTGCAGGTCTGCAGTAGCTTCCTAACTGGTTTTTCAGCTTCTGTTTTGCTTCCCTGTGGACAGTTAAAGAATCAACCACAATTAAAAAAAAAAAAAATCAACCACAGTAAACTGCTTCAGTTTAAATAAGATCATGTAAGAATGAATGAATTGAGATCTTGTCACTTACTCAGAATCCTCTGTGGCTTCCCAGCTACGCAGTTCAAGCTGGCCTTGAGCTCACTTTGTAGCCCAGACTGGTCTCGAATTTGCAACAATCCTCCTCCTGCCTCAGCCTCCCAAGTGTTGGGATTACAGGGGTGCCCCACGACACCCGGCTCATACTCATTTCCTACCTGCTTTTTTGCTGCATTGTGTTCTTAGCTCAGTACACACAAGCTTCAGGGCTTTAACCCTGCTGTTCCCTCTGACTAGAATGGTCTTTCCCAAGTGTGTATGACTATATTCAAGTGTCAACTCAACAAAGGGGCCTTCCCTGGCCCCCCAGTATAAAAAGTAATAAACGTTTACTCTATTTTACAAAGTGATCTTCATAACTTTTTATTACTTCCTGCCTCCACCCCCTCACTGCCAACTCCTGTATTAGTAAATTCCATGAATGCAAGAATCTTGGTTTATTTTATCCACTGTTGTACCCCTAGCACCGAAAACAAAGCTTCTCGTGTAGTAAAAATTCTGTAATTCTGAGTGAATGAAAAATTCAGATAGGGCTGCTATTCCCTCTAGTCCTTTTCTAGAGGTTCAGGTTACAAAGATGGGAAAGACATAATCCCTGCCCTCAAGAGGTTCTATTTTAGTAGCATAATTAGATTTAAAAATAATTGTAATGAATGTCACTGGTAAAATTAAGAAAAAGGTGCAAACTAAGCATTGTGGTGCACACCTGCAGTCCTAGCTACTAGGGAGGTCAGGATGGATTGTTTGAGCCCAGGACTTGGAGGCCAGCCTGTGCAACACACACAGCAAGACTGTGTCTCTTAGAAAAAAAAAAAAGAGAGAGGTGGATGATGCTGAGTTGGTAAGTAGTTTCATTTTAGTTGGAATAGTCAATAACTGCCTCTCTCAGGAGGCACCACTTAAGAGACCTGATTTGAATGGAGAGCTCCACTTTAATAAAAACGTAGTAGACGGACATTCGAAGTGAAAGGAGCGAGCCCTGGGGTGGGAATACACTTTGTGGTCTGAATGACAAGGTTGTGAGGCTAGAACAAAGCTGGGTAGTGTGAGAGAAGATAAAAATCAGAAATAAAACAAGTACCAGAGCCAGGTGTGATGGTTTACGCCTCTAATGACGGCATTTGGGATACTGAAACAGGTGGATTGCTCCAAGTTCAAGGCCAGCCAGAATTACATAGCGAGAGCCTATGAACAAAACAAAGCAAAGCACAAAACCCTGGGCATGGTAATACACGCCTGAAAACCCAGTACTCAAGAAGTTGAAGCAGGAGGATCGCCTGCCGGGGCTACATAGTAGGGTCACCACCAGGCTGAACTACATACGGAGACCCTGTCTCAGAAAAAAGGCACCAGACTTTTTTTTGGCAGAGGGGTCGGTCTATAATACTTTTGATTTCCGTTATGTCACTGGAGGTTTTGAACAGGGGGCTATGACCTTACATTTTTAAGAAGTGCCCCTAGCTGTCCTATGTTTAATTGTAGCAGGGTAATAATGGAAGTAGACGAACGAACCAGCAGAGTCTATTGCAGCAAGTACTTAAGTAACACACGACTCTGAATAATTGGCTAACGGTAGAAGTGAGAAAGGTTCTCGCATCCTAGCCTTTTGGTTAAAAAAAAGTTCCCCAGTCAGGCAGTAATCCTCTGCCGGCCTCCTTTAGGCGTCAACACTAAGGCGAGTGTCTCCAGCAGTCACTCTACAGCCGGGTGTGGAGGCGCACACCTACAGTCCTAGAGACTCTGGGAGGATGGGGTAGGAGGGTCGCCAAGTTGGAGCCCAGCCTGGGCAACTAAGCAAGACCCTGTCTCAATATTAAAAACAAAAAAACAAACAAACAAACAAACAAAAAGACTAGAGTTGTAGCTCAGCACTCCTTGGGTTCAACTGGCAGCGCCGCAAGAAAAGAATAAGAAAAAAAGTCAATCTGCATCGTGGCCTGTTCTTGGGAACGTTCACCAGGCCACTTCTCTTCGGAGGGCCTCTTAAGTAGTTTAATAGCACCTCAGACTTTTGAGGTGCTCTTTAAAAAAGAATAAATGGTGGGGCTGGGGATTTAGCTCAGCAGCACAGCGCCTGCCTGGCAAGCGCAAGGTCGTGAGTTCGATTCCTGGTACCGGAAAAAAACCGAAACCAAAAAATAAAAAAAAATTTAAAAAAGAATAAATGAGGCTGTCAGTGTTTTGTTTTGTTTTTTTTAATTTTTATTTTTTGTCTTTTTGAGACAGAGCCTCGCTAGCTGTGTTAGGTGGACTTGCATAGCATAGAAATCACTTAAGGAAACTTAGTCCGCTAAGAAAAAGCTTAATTTTTCAGAACAAATCTGGAGAGAACTGTTCGTTCCCAACGTTGGAAAACGGTAAGACTGGAGGTCACCCGGGAATTTGTCTGCTAGCCCCTTGGAAATTACGTTGGGAGCTTCGCAACCCTGGGAAGCCCCGAAGTGGCACGCGTTTTGAGCATCAGGACAGAACTCAGTCCCACCAAACGGGGCCAAAACAACTTCGCGTCTGCAGTCGTGCGCACGCGCCCCGGCGGTTTTTGTAGCTCCGTAAGCTCCGCCCCTTGCGCGTCCTCCGGGGAGGGTCGGAGCTGAGGGCCGGAGCCGCAGCTCTCCCCTCGGCGCTCTCGGCAGATCGTCGCAAACGGGGGCCGGAAAGCGTGGCGGCGCAGGCGCAGGCGCAGAGAGCGGAGGCGGAGGTGGTGGCGGCCGCTGGCCAGTGTAAGATGGCGGCGGCGTTGGTGGTGGCAGTGGATGGGGCGGCTGGGCCTGCAGCAGTCGGAGCAGCCACTGGCAGAAGGATGACCCAAGTCGGGAAGCGGGCTGCTGAGTCTCGCCGGCTCCCGTGCCTGTAACTGTCCCAGCCGGACAACCCCCCCTGACCTAACCGGTCCGTGTCTCGTTCCGGCTCGGCCTGCCCCGCTCTCCCGGGCCGGTTCCGCTCAGGATGGGCCTGACCCACTTCCCCAGGCTCCCAGGGCCCGGATCTTCTCCTTCCCTGCACGGAGGCACTGTTGGGAGGGCCGGTTCTCCTTGGTGCGGTCCGCTCTGCAGTGCCCCTCAGGGCCAGCCCTGTAATTCGCGGGGACGTCTGGCTTCGTGGGGTGACCCATTTGTGTGCCCCTACCTGTCCGCTTCGCTCGGGGACGCGGCTGCCCCGGAGTCCCTGTTCCCGTGCGGCGTCCCCTCCCCCAGCCGGCCCCGGGCCCCGCACCTGGGGGCACCGAGACCCAAGGATCGGGAGGGGGCGGCGGCGGCTGGACCCGTACTCTCGCTCTCTGAGTTCGCCTCCGACCGCGGACGGGCGCCTTAGAACGGTCCCGTGTGGTCCCTGTTAGTTGGAAAGCATCGGTGGCTTGAATTTCTGACTCATGATTGTCGCTGGAGTCTCTGTAAACAAACCGGCGCTGGCGCTATCACGTTCTCTCCGGGATCTCCCCTCCCCCTGCTCCGCGGCTGCTGCTTCAGAGGTGGTTTGGTTCAGGTTCAGTGTTCAGAAGGTTCAAGTTTTCCCGTTGAGTGACGTTTAGTTTTAGCGGAGCAGGAAGATAACTTGTTTGACTTCTAGCCCTTGTGTTGGTTCATTTTATTTACATATGTACGCGGATTCTCGTCCAGCAGTCAGAAAACTACCTCTGGTTTTAAATAGCTCTAAGGAGTTCTAAAAAAAAAATTAGCAAACTGTATTCACGAAATCTTTTGTTATGTTCCGAAGAAGAGACACCTTTGCCATGTAAACTTTTAACTTTTCTCAGTCCTTCAGTGACTCTCCAGACCTATTTTCTCAGGAGCTCTCAGCCTGGCCCTACTTCAGTGATTAAAGGAGGAAAGGTGAGTGGGAGTGAAAAGACAGACCCTGCCGCGATGCTCAAGTGCTGATCGCTAAAGTCTTAAAATTCCTGCCAGAGTTTCCAGAAGACTTTGGGTATTGTTCCTGGCTGGGTTCCAGCTTTGGTGAAATTGTTTGTACAGGTTTAATTGGCTGTGTTTTTACTTTTCCGTCCGAAGCTACCGCTGTGCATATTGAGTTTTGCCTAGAAGCGAAAGTGTGTCCCTCACCCCTGTTTCGCTTTTTTTCTTAATCATTTGCCACATGTTTTGCCTTTGTGTGGGTCATGTTTGTTACATTGTGAAAAACTGAGAATTAGCTTGCCTGAGTTCTATTGTATCTTTTGTCAAATCCTGTCTCTTCCGCTCTCCCGGCTTTGTGTTGTCGTCCTTACCATTTAGAGAATATTTAGCCCCTTGTGACGGAAAGCTGAGGTGTGTGATGAGAGGAGCTGCCTTCGGTTGGTGTCCGAGTCCGCACCATCTCAAAGTTTTCAAAACATACTGGGGAAATTTTGGTAAAAAAATTAAATAGTAGGTGCTCTTTTGTAACTGGTCTAAAGAATTCTTGGTCAGCAGAAGAACCATCCTGTATATTCAGGATGGGCCAGTGCCAAAAAGGGAGTAAGAACTTACTTACAAGTGTAGTTTTGGGGATTTTTTGTTTGTTTGTTTTGATACCGGGAATTGAACTCAGGACCTGGCACTTGCCAAGCAGAGTAATATTCCCGGCCCTACGTGTTGTTTTTGTAAGGTTGTTAGGTTTCTGGTAGCAGAGAATCCTGGAGTGATTGAGGCTCGAGTTGTGACCCAAGAGCTGACTGGTTCTGGAAAATAGGCCTGGCCAATTCCTAGTATATACTTTTAGTGGTTTGTAGTAGGAAAAGATTGAACGGGACTGTAGGAAATTTTATTCTACCTGGTACCTAGGTCAGGAAATGTTCATTATAGGCTGAAATGAAATTTTTAATTATGGTGTGTGTATAAGATAAAAAAGGGAAAAGTATGGGCAGACTGGGGCTTAAGATTTATTAGCAGTGTGATCTTAGGTAAGTTACTTTAAACTTTGCTGACTCTTAATTTCCTCATCTTTAAAAGTGAGATAGGCTGGGGATATAGCTCAGTGGCACAGCACCTGCCTGGTAAGCTCGAGGTCTTGAGTTCGATTCCCACTACCAAAAAAACCACAAAACCCTGAGATAATATCATTACCTCCCACAGTCACTGTTGGTATTATATGAGAGAAGCCATGTAAAGTTTTTAGATTATGCGTAATGCACGGTACACACTCAGAAATGACTGTTTTCTCTGCACCCATTTGAATGAGTTGTACATTATTTCTTTGCTTTTTTTTTTTTTTTTTAAACCACACATTTTTTTGGAGACAGGGTCTCACTGTACAGTTCAGGCTGGCCTTGAGCTCACTTTGTAGCCCAGGCTGGTCTCGAACTTACAATAATCCTCCTGCCTCAGCCTCCTGAGCACTGGGATTATAGGCATGTGCCACCATGCCCTGCTACCACACATTTTCCTGATTAATTTTTCAGATTCTCTCCCCCACTTCCCCATACTGGGGGTTGAACCCAGGGCCTTTACACAGAGTTATGTTGCTGTTCCTTTTTCAGTTTTTATTTTCAGACAGGCTGGACTTTAGCTTTCCATCCTATTGCCTCACAGTGCTGGAATGATAGGCATATGCCACCATGCCCAACTTTTTTTTTCTTCTCTCCCCAGGTACTAGGTATTAACCCCAGGGCCTTCATACTGATCTAGATTGCTAACCCCTTTTTCTTTTTTACTTTTGACATGGAGTCTCTGTAGATTGCCCAGGCTAGGTTTGGATTTGTGATGCTCCTGCCTCAGCCTCCCAGAGTGCTAGGATTATACTGGTGTGCACACTTGGTTCCCCTGCTTGCCAGTTTGGTACTCTTCCCTAGTCCCTCAAATTCATTTTTAATTGTTCAGGTTAAATGTTTCCTTATAAGTGCCCTCCCAGGATTGCCTTCTGAGTACGATTTAGGGCAGTCTTGGTAGGGGTTCATGACCAGAGGACAGAAGGAATATTACATGTTGTTGTACATACATTTCTAAATGCCCTCTTAAACATCAGTAATGTTCCTCTGTTCCTTGCTTCCTTCCACTTGGTTTGTTAGCACACCTGATCAGAATTATCAGTATTGTAATTCCTTCCCCTTGTGCTGCAGTGTGGGTCGTCTATGCTGCAGCTACTCATGCCTTTCATTTTTGCAAGGGAGAGAATACATTTTCGCTAAGACACTGAGCTGTACGGTGATCCTCATGGACAGACTATCAAAGAACTAGATCATGAAAAGGTTTCACTTCTTTCTGAAGTAAACCAAAGTTAGGAATTCCAGGAGGTTAGGAAAAGAACAGAGCTCTTTTTTCATCTCCACATTTGGACAGTAGAGAGATTAAGAATTTTAAATCTTTTGTTGGCTTCTCTCCCATATCCCTTTTGAAAGAGCCAAGAGCACATGAAAATTAAGGAAGTATTGATAACATTGTGGTGGAGGAAGCTCAGTGATCATTTTAGGGCTGATAAACTTTCATTACTGCATCCACTGTCTAACTCTGTTGTAAGTCAAACACTCGTGGTAGTGAGGTGGGCATTTGTGTTTTTAGGAGACCTGGAGATCTGTACTGAGTAGGGAGAAGGATGGGAGGAGTAAAGGAAATATGTTGAAAGATGAAAGCTTTGAGTGTTCTTTATTGCCTTAAGGGGGGAATATAAATCCCTCTCCTCAACTACCAGAAAGGTTTCATATTTTATGCCTCAGGTGACATCTGTGTATACAGTGAATCAGTATTCTTACTCTATGAATCACAGGTCTGAAGTTCTTACCTTCCTGAAGATGTTTTTATATTTCAGGGTTTTGGGTGTTACCTAAGAATTGTCACATTTTTTTTTCTTTTTGAGACAGGGTTTCCTTGTGCAGTTCAGGCTGGCCTTGAGCTCACTTTGTAGCCCATGCTGGTCTCGAACTTGGAACAGTCGTCCTGCCTCAGCCTCTCAAGTGCTGGGATTACACCACACCCAGAGAATTGTCACATCTTATTAGGAAGTATTTCCTAAGTTGCCCAAGGTGGGAGACTATGTATACCGTGTCCTCTTAGTTCCCACTGCCAGTCTGGCTGGGCATTTGATGGTGTAGTATATTAAATGTGTAAGAATCGGTGTCAGTGTCGTGGTCTTTAATGTTGACTAGAATCAACCTAAGGCAAATTTGGCTTCAGAGAGCCAAAAGAAAGTAGCCTTTTTTGTTATTGTTGCCTGTTTAAGATAGTCTGGGCATTTCCAAAGCAGACGGATTCTAGTAGAAGATATACCATAGATTACAGGCTTTTTTTTTTTTTTTTTTTTTTTTTCTGAGATAGGGTCTCACTATGAAGTGCAGGTTGGCCTTGAACTTGCTTCTGTAGCCAGACTGACCTCAAGCTCATGGCCATCTGCCTGCCTCAGCCTTCCAGGTGCTTCCACGTGCTGGGATTACAGCAGTGGGCCACCACACCCTGCTTGCTTACAGGCTTTTAAAAATCATGAAGTGAGTAGTTAAACTTGGCTTTCTGTACATACATTTATTATTGGATTGTTTTTACCATAGAAAAGTTAGCTTTGGGTCCAGGGATATAGCTCAGTGGCACAGTCCTTGCCTGGCAAGTGCGAGGTCATGAGTTCGATTCCTGGTACCAAAAAAAAAGTTAGCTTTAAACATGTCTAAGGCATGTCTAGATTATAAAAGAGCAACAAGTATCCTAACAGAACTTTTTATTATATAATTTTAGTGTTAGAGTTGTTTTTTAATTTATTTTTTTCTGGAATTTTTAAGGCTCTGAGATTGAATGAGCTTTTGTTTTTTAAGTAGATTATCAGTGAGCTAAGATAATCTGCTGTTTACCCTCACCCATTTGGAACTCAAGCCTCTGAGTTAATTAAATCAGCAACAGACATGGAAGTAATGACCATGTATAGTATGCAGTGGTCCCATTTAGCTGCAGTTTTGCTTTCCATAGTCAAGCACAGTGCAAAAAATACTAAATGAAAAAGTCCAAAAATCAACACTAAGTTTTAAATTGTATGCTTTTCTGTGTGAGGAGCTTTCACCTTGATCCCCCAAGAAACATGAATCATCTCTGTGGGAACATAGCTACACTGTATATACTACCCTCCCATTAGTCACTTAGTAATCTTATTAGATGACTGTGGTATCAAGTGCTTGTTTTCAGGCAACCCTTATTTTGCTAATAATGACCCCAAAGTGCAAGAGTAATGATGCTGGCAATACAAATGTGCCAAAGAGAAGCCATAAAGTGCTTCCTATAAATGGAAAAGTGAAAATTCCCAATTTAAAAAGGAAAGAATAACCTTTATGCATAGGTTGCTAAAATGTAGCAGGGTGTATCCAACCCGTGGATACATATTTATGTGCAAAAGAAACAATTTCTTTCTTTCTTTCTATCTTTCTTTTTCTTTCTTTCTTTCTTTCTTTCCTTCCTTCCTTCCTTCCTTCCTTCCTTCCTTCCTTCTTTCTTACTTTCTTTTCTTTCTTTCTTTCTTTCTTTTTTTTTTCTTTTCTTTTCTTTTCTTTTCTTTTCTTTTCTTTTCTTTCCTCCTTTCCCTCATCTCAGTTGTTCCTTCCCTTTGAGGAATTTCTTTCCCTTTCACAGTATCTATTGTACCTTTTGGGTTTTATTTACTCTTTCAGGTTCTTACACTAGGGAGACAATATGATGTTTACATATGCAGATATGATTTATTTCACTTCTGAGTATGGTCTCTAGTTGCATCCATTTACCTATAAAAGCCTCAAGTTTACCTTTTTTTTATAGCTCAGTAATACTCCATTGTATAAAAATACCACATCTTTTTTATCCATTCCTCTGTTGATGGGCATTTGGGTTGTTCCAAGATTGAACTATGACAAATTGTGCTGCTATAAACATGGGTACACATAGATCTCTATGTTATGTTTTCAGTTTTTCTG